GATTTAGTTAAACCAAGTGACACCGGAAAAGAAGATTTCACCACTACTAGCCGCGCCTCAATCCCCACCTCCACCATTCCTAGATTCGTCAGTACGGAAATGATTCCAACTAAAGTAGAAATTCCCGAAAGAATCGATGGCGAAGAAGGGTCCGGCAATGACGGAGGGGCTGGAGACGACGACGAAGGCAGCAGCTGGTCCGGAGACGATAAAGATACCAAAAGCTTGGACACTGACGATGCCGAAGACTTCTCAGAATATGCTGACTATGCTGACGACGAAGACGGAGGCAGCAGCGGGTCCGGAGACGATAGAGATACCAAAAGCTTGGACACTGACGATGGCGAAGACTTTTCAGAATATGCTGACTATGCTGCCGACGAAGACGGAGGCAGCAGTGGGTCCGGAGACGATAAAGATACCAAAAGCTTGGACACTGACGATGGCGAAGACTTCTCAGAATATGCTGACTTTGCTGACGACGAAGACGAAGGCAGCAGTGGGTCCGGAGACGATAAAGATACCAAAAGCTTGAACACTGACGATGGCGAGTACTTTTCATAATATGCTGACGACGAAGACGTAGGCAGCAGCGGGTCCGGAGACGATAAAGATACCAAAAGCTTGGACGCTGACGAAGGCGAGTACTTTTCATAATATGCTGACGACGAAGACGAAGGCAGCAGCGGGTCCGGAGACGATAAAGATACCAAAAGCTTGGACGCTGACGATGGCGAGTAATTTTCATAATATGCTGACGACGAAGACGAAGGCAGCAGCGGGTCCGGAGACGATAAAGATACCAAAAGCTGGGACGCTGACGATGGCGAGTAATTTTCATAATATGCTGACGACGACGACGAAGGCTGCAGCGGGTCCGGAGACGATAAAGATACCAAAAGCTTGGACGCTGACGATGGCGAGTACTTTTCATAATATGCTGACGACGAAGACGAAGGCAGCAGCGGGTCCGGAGACGATAAAGATACCAAAAGTTTGGACGCTGACGATGGCGAAGACTTCTCAGAATATGCAGACGAAGGTTCGGGTTCAGGACATGGTTCGTTGAAGTTACGTTACAGGCGACCTATCGTTCTTGCCAAGTTGTAAACGAATCCCAGAAATGATTGGATTGTCCAAATAGTGATACACTTCCTGCACGTAGCACTGATACGACCTCTTACCGGGCCAAAATGTGTCAGGATGACCCACACACGGGCAAAAAGTGCATTTCTATGCAGATAAAGTCCCACTCATTTCTCTGTGTGAACCTATAGTCAAGAAAAATACCAACCTTAACATCGGCGATAATCTCGGAGGGGAGGAGGCTTTCGGTAACAATTGACGGACGCAAATGTCATAAAAGTTCTAATTTGTGAGGAATTATTCAAATTATTATGAATTAAAGAATATGAAGGACTGACAGTGAGGGAGTGAGAATAAAGGAAATAAAAGTGTGAGGGATGAATTTGCATGTGTGAGTATGGAGGAAAACTATGCAATTTGATGATTAAGCAGCGAATACGTGAGTAGGATTAGTAAGAAGGGTAAATCTGAAGGATGCGTATAGGGGAAGTGAATGAAAGATGAGTATGAAGAAGTGAATGAATGGATTAGTAACATTGTAGTGAGGAGTATTTTAGTAGCAAGTAGCTAGTCTAATACTATAACAGAACCATCATTATCATTTATTTAGGTTTGCCATTTTTTTCGTCAAATAAATAAATTTGAGATGCGTTTGTGAACCAGCCCTCCGAATTCATAACATTCAAACTTCAGAGTTTAAAATTCCTTTGGTACGTCACTTATTTCAATTAACGTAGCCAGATTTTTGCCATGCGCTGAGGGTTTGACTTGTTCTGTGTTGTTGTTTCTGAGGCGTAGAGAGTTTGCCCACTTACTTTGTATTCATATAAATGCAAGCTTAGCAATAAGGATTCACTGCCTGCGTTGCTACTGATAAGTTTGATCTAGAAAGCTAATGATGAGCTTCACCTAGAAACCTTGGGAGAAGCTCGATCTAGAAAGCGAGGTATAAGCTGGATCTAGAACGCGAGGGATAAGCTCGATCTAGAAAGCAAGGAATAAGTTTAATCTAGAATCAGTGAAATAAGATTCATATAGAAAGCGAGGGTCGAATTTAACATAGAAACCTTTTGATAAGCTAAGAAACCGTGTGAAGTGTTCGCAACCGTGTGATAAGTTTGTGCATGAAATCCCTGTTATTGAGCCTTCCTTCAGACATGAACGCTGTTCTTCCGTTCGCATTCCGTTCTTCCGTTCGCATACCACTCAACTGGCCCCTAGCATACCACTCAACTGGNGAACGGCACACGTCGGATGACAGGACGGCACACGTCGGATGACAGGACGGCACACGTCGGATGACAGGACAGCACACGTCGGATGACAGAACGGCACACGTCGGATGACAGGACGGCCCGCGTCGGATGACAGGACGGCACACGTCGGACGACAAGAAGACAGGCGTCGAATGGCAAGACGACAGACGTCGGATGACCAGGCGACAGACGTCGGGAAAGGTGCTGCCAAGTTCAATGCTCGAATGCAAATAGTTAGGCATGAATAGGAATATTCATGAAGTACCTAAACACACGTGAAGATTAAGGCGCGACCGGCAAAAGCCGGCTACGCCGCTGTATATGGTCACGTCATATGTCCATGGGTTGCATCGTTTTAGACATCCTCTATTGAACACGTGCGTGCGTAAGTTGGTGTTCGAACCTAAGCTTAAACTTTGACATCCATTCCTATTGAACAAAAGACCGTTGCTGATATCGTTTACCGATGTTTACCCAGAGCTATTGCATTTATACTCATCTCAGTACCCTGCCATTTACTTATTAAATGAAATACTTCTATCTGACAGATTGAATATAAGCTCAGTTTATGATTAATTTAAATGCTCTGAATGCTTACAGTTTAGCTAAAAGCTCGTTCAATTTATAGTTACTTTTATAGAAATTCGCTCAGAAACAGTTTACTGTAATCTGATATTCACTTTAGAAACTAACTTTCTCATAATTTGATTCGAGAATATTATGAAAGTTTGATGTAATTAGATATAAGAAAAATATATTTCCTTGTGATTTATGCTGATTTAATATGATTTAAAATCCAATTACAACTTCTTTTAGTAGCTAAATCGTTCAAGGTAATAACTTTTGATGACTTAATTGAATGAAAAAATAAACATGCCGTCACCTACAAAATTCCCATTTCGATGTTTATAAAAGTTTTACATTTAATTTTCACATGTATGTTCATGGGTTAGGCCCATTCTCCATCATTCATGGTTCAGACTATCTGGCCGGGATATACGTTGAATAGCTAAATATAGAATTTCTCACTATATTCATCTTTTTCTTTTATCAATTTTGCTAAAAACGGATGACGCTCACACATTTTGAGCACGTACGTGCTCATTATCAAAGTATCTGTTCTTATTCAGTATTTGGCTTAGATGTGCTTTTATACAACAAATCTTTGAACCAATTGTAAGAATTGTAAGAATAGAAAACTATAATCAGTTTATTGCGGCAACATTTATTGAATCGTTGAGCAAATTGAAGACAACGCCTTTTGTTCTTGTCACGTGAATTGGATGTTTTGGCTGCTCATAGTTCAGACGTGATAAGTTCAACCTCTTGGAACCGTGATGGTGCCGACGTTCATGTTATTGTTGCAATCTCACATCTTGAGAGCCTGAGCCAATATCTAGCCATTACTCCTTAGTCCATGCGTCGCACAACTTCAGGTCTTCAACACCAGTGGCCTGTGGGCTGTGCCCGTGCAAGTGTGCATAGTGGCAGTGCAGAGTTATTTAGACTCTTCCTCTAGTTCATTTTTGAATCCTTTTAAAGTAGACCTGTAAAGTATCATGGATACCAGCATTATCATACATAAAAAATCTGTTTACATCTTGAGTAGATGATGAAATTGAAAATTAATTGATTGCCACTATGCAGGCTGTGGTTATCTACTAGGTAGATTCAAAAATACTGAGTCAGCACCTTATTTCAACCTGGTAAATGTAAAAAAACTTTTATGAGAATAATTATTGATATAAATTATTTGTTGATTTGCTGGAAAAATAGTGAACTTGAGAATCTACTTTGAAGTTTGGTGGCAGGCCAACGTAGAATTGTAGTAATTGTGGTCTGTGGATTTTGTTCATATACTTAAAATTAATCCAGCCTGGTTTCTCGATCAGGTCAAATTTTCCAAAATATCTGCTAAAAATAAAAGTATGAAATGAAAATTTAGTTTATTATTCTTGGATCCAATGTGATATGTGTGCCTGTTCAATACTCGTATGTTTTCTCTTGAATCCACCTTGATGAATAAATTAATAATATTTTTGATATAGTAATTGATATGATTGTAACTTGTACGCAAGACGGGCACGGGATTTTACTTATTCATTGGATTTTCACAAGAAATAACAACCACAAACCATGTTCTATGAAGTACCAAATTCATTCATCTTCAGCACATGTCAGACTGTCAGATGACCCATCAGAATTTGAATGGGAATTGACAACTAAAAATGATCATGAGCAGTTTTGAGCACATGAGCACTGATGACAAAACATCAAATATTGACCTGTAGAAAAATGGCTGCAATACCGTCAACTGGACTGACTGGCGACCGGGGTCACCAGGGTGATTTTGGAAAATGTTTATGAATTTGTTTTGCTGCCCGGTGGCCAAAGTCACCCCAGTAGACGGTAATACTGGAAAAAGCATTTATCAATTGATAGTCTGGTATATCATTGAAGATAAATTAAAATGTAAAAGAAATTGGTTCTGAGAATTTTACTCCTTCATTCCCTCCAAACTGGGAAATTGGGCTAAAGAGTGAGACTCCTGATTGTGACCTGAAAATCTTGTTTAGAGCACCCATGCCTGGCATAATATAGTGGCATAAATTATTTATGAAAATTAACCTCCTTGACACAATTTCACAGAAGTGAGTCAGTATAAATAAATATGTGCTGCTTAGAAAAAGGCATACCTGGCATGGCTTTGAGATGCCTCAGTTCTTTGACAATATCTTGGATGAGCATTTTAAACAAATAAATTTATCCCGTAGTATAGTGTTCGGTGTATGATTTTGACAGGTATGACAATGATTTTACAATATTAAATGTACATTGAAAACAGTTGTGCTTAAAATTTTTAATAAATGCTCTGTAACATATCATACTACCAACTTATACTGACACCTTGGCAATTTGGTAAATAATGAGAATGTGGAGTTTGTATGCACAGTCACATGCTAGATGTGAATGAGCTACGCATTGGCATTCTATGCAAGACACTGGCTGCCATTGCCCGCTCACTCACTCCCCGACAAATATTTGATTGTTGATGGTCCGAAATGTCAATTTTTTAATAGTCCACTTTCAAATAAAAATGCCATGAGGTCGCAAAGTTATAGGAAGTGGCCAATGAATAATATGGAATGCTGTTCAACTATTCAATGAACTGAAAGAAGTTGCAAGCCTGCAACACAAGAAATTACTTTTCTAACTATTTGTTATATTATATTTGATTTGAAATGATTCATACTTTCATTGTGAATTCGGAAATTTGAGAGAGCATGAGAATTCAAAAAATTGAGAAAATTGTGTAGCAGTAATAAAATCTGAATTTGTTCCAATTTGAATTGCTAACATGATACCCACTTATCCCTCTTATTTCCAGCAAATTGCCAATGAAGAAAGTAATCTAGCTGAAACTTGATAAACAATAAACTGGCTTTATTTACAATTAAGAATTTGTCTACTCTCATATGCATATACATATTGAGAGTGGTTACTCATTGGTGAATCATTCAAAATATGTTGAGGTCAACTTCCAAGATAACACCCATACCCTAACAAAATTCGGGTATGCATCAGCCTCCGCCCCAGAGTTGCTGTGTTCGCATGAGAGAGTTATTGTGGGTCAGTTGGCCAACTGATCGCAATCAGCGACTAGTCAGAACCTCCTTGCCGAATTTATAGTCTCCTGAGAGTAGGGTAAGAGTTGGCC